TACTTCATAAAATGACAGACCCTTTGTAAAAGCCTATTTTAGACATTATGAAGAGATTATATTCATTTTCGTATGATTTTATGGAAATTGGGACCAACTAGGCCATAAGGTAAAATGATAAAAACATATTACTCAATTTTAGTTACCACGTCATGCCTAAACTAAATGTCATGAAACGAATATGATTATTTTTGCAATATAGCTATGACCACACAAACGGCAAATCGGTGGATTTTACGTCCATCGATATGAAAGTGCAGTGTGTGTAACTGGCTGACCATAAAATTTTGGGTATAGACAATTTTTCATCTACTTTCAGTTAAAAACCGGTTCCATTAAGAATTTTATGAATGACTATGGATTTTATAGTACAACCAAAATACGATTAATCACGCATAACAAGTTGAATCAGTTAATTAAGGTCAATAAAAGTTCTCATTAATTTAGGGGGCGCTTAGTTCCTTAATAGTTAGTCGTAGAAAGTAAACAGACAGATAAATGTTATATTAATTCAGTCATTATTCTAATCTAACAAGCGTTGGTAAAAATGTGGTTCAAAATTGTTTTCATTTACTAAATAGAAATGTGTACCTGGACATAAGTAGCGTTAATTCCTAATAATCCCTAATTTATCAAGTATGCGTGCTTTAGATATAGGCAAAGAAATCTTTTTTTTATCTTATAGTTCTCTCCAATATCATGCCATCCACTGAGCTCGAACTAAAACTGCAATTTACCTTATGACTAATTATAGAATTATTAGTTTTAAAAATAAATAAATGATTATCCACATTCAAACTAGTTATAGTTGGTACATTCCTCGAATATTTTAAAACTGGTTAAGAAGATTTCGAAACGCGTATTGAGATGTTTTAAATAAATGCATTGGACAAAAATCTAGTTACACGTATATGGAAGGAAACCTTTAAAATAACTATGGGTGTGACTATCACCACTATAATATACGAGTAAAGCGTAATTATCTGGATGGATTTAAGGGTGCGTGCTTATTTCGGCACTAGCGTAGCGTGCCTTGGCCGTATAAAATTTGCTAATCATTTGTCTGAAAATCGAAAACCTTTCTAGGCCTCTCCTAAAGTTTCTACCAACCTTTGAACGCATGCTTTATGCGGAAAAAAGTTGTTTAATACTTTAGTGATTACTGAAATAAAATAAAAAATGGGAAGTTTTTATTAATTTTTGCATGTACGCACCCCGTAGTCCGGGGGCTATAATTGATACGGCAGATATAGCGCTAGGTACGACCCTGTTTCGGCACGAAATTACCTCACAGAAAACCGGCGTGAAACAATGCTTGCGTTATGTTTCTCCGCCAAAAAACGTTGGCAATGCACTTGTACCTTCTGGTGTTCGTAGTGTCCATCCATGGGCAGAATTGCTCACCATCTGATAACGCGTCTGCTCATTTGCTCCGGGAGTTATAACTATCCCATAACAATTCTTTTATAAACTATCTACGTTTAAAATAAAACGTCTTCAACCCCGTCTTTTTTTGAAGTCAGTTATACTAATTATTAAACTAAAACCTTCTCCTAAATGTAAGTGTAACAAAGTACACTTCCCTGAAAACCGCATCAAAATCGGTTCAACCAATAGCGAGATAATGACGCACAAATATAGATACATTACATACATACAGGTCAAGCTAAGAACCTCTTTCTTTTTTTGAAGTTGGAAAAAAAGGGCGTGTCAGTATTGTGTAGGTTTCGTACACGTGATTCTGATGCGTCATAAGTATTAAGTTTATGCTCATTCAATTAACTTACCTAGGTATTACACGAGTCATCATAAGTAAATATAACTAATTAAATTAAAACTCTAAATACCAGATGTTAAAAAACCCAACAACTATGGAGATTTGACATTTTTGGTTGAATAATTAGGTACCCAGTTGATATTTGGCTCACATTATAATGTTAAAGTGCAGTTCTCATTTACCGCGATAAATTATTTGTAATCACGATTCCGGGTTCAAACAACAGATCGGGTTTTTAACTTTTTAGAGTTCTCAGTATCAGTAGCAACACTTATTCAGAATTCGTGCTCGGTATATGACGGTGTCATAGGTTCGTCCCCTATTTCAAAAGTACAATTTACAATTGCCTACAATAACATAACAAAGAATAGACTTAAATTATTAAATTCTAGCGACCCGCCTCGGCTTTGCACGGGTGCAATATTCATGCATTATACGTATAAACTTTCTTTAATAATCACTCTATCTATTAAAAAAAACGCATAAAAATCCGTTGCGTAGTTTCAAAGATCTAAGCATACATAGGGACAGACAGACTGCGGATAGCGACTTTGTTGTATACTATGTAGTGATAACACCCTCTTTTCACTAAGCACGAGACGCATTTAATAGTGGTGAGCTGGGTAGCCTTTGCCATGAAAACTAGTAAGATTTTTCAAAAAGCCTCAACAATATTTAGCAAAACTTACTTAGTTAATGAACCAGTGATCTCTTAGCCCGGCAGTCCCACTTGCCCCAACACAAGTAATAAATAAATTATTGAAAGTCAAAGTCAAAGCATTTATTTCATTTAAAATTTTAAACTGTCAAACACCAAGCGGTCACCGGTGACCGCGACCTATTGTTCTTTAATTGTGTCTATAAATACGGTACTCGACGAGTTAAACCATAATTTGGTACTATTAAAACAAACATCAACAAATACAAAATATCTAAATAATTGTCTGTCGACAGTCTGTCCGTCAGCGAAGCCAGGTGCTCATTCTAAACTGTAGATTCAGATGGAGAAGAACCAGCAAGAAACTCCATTCACTACACAATATGATTTTAAAAAACAAACTAGATTATAATACTGGTCTGATAGATAAACACATTAAGTCCTCTTACAATTTGTTTGTATAAAGCCGAAAATAAATAAATAATACTTGGTCTACCTACCCCTTCCTAGAATCCATAAAACTAGGGCACATGAATAAAGGGGTTATATTAACATACTGTACTGTACCGCAGGTCATTGCCCTGTTGTTAACTATGAAAGTGTGGAGTGAAACACTGAAACATGACCTACATTGCCAGTAGCAAATTGTGTTAATGGAATGTACATATACAATTTTTCAGTAAACCACTGATAATTGTTATTTTACTTATAGATAAGTATGTATCGCCACGCAATATCATTTATTTCAATATAAGCGATAGGTTCTTTCAATTGGACACCTGGGTTTTACAATAAAATGTGGTTTTATACAGTAACATAAATAACTAGAAGTCATAAACTTACATTTCTTAGTAATGCCCACTTTTATCTGAATAAATATAATAATTGTTGTTATAATGACTTTATCTGCATAATGAGTCACGGAGTTCTCAATTTTAATTCATTTGTAGATTTTATTGTAGCGTGACAATAAATTGAGTCAACAAAAGCTCATAGTTTATTTTAGTCTACTATGTAAGTGCTCCTAATGGGAAATAATATATTTTGATGTCATAGCAGTTAGCTGCATATAAGATTTGTATCCCTCTTAGAACTTTTTTAATTTCTTAGTTTATAACTTGTCTCCTTGTACAATGAGTAATGCACCGAAATGTGAAATAATAAGTAAACATCCATGCTCGTCAATCAAAGGAGTTTTAATGCATCATTCATAGCAGTAGTGTACTGCATTTTAGAAAATAATCAAACCTAGTTATTAAAACTAGTATTTGATGCACAAACACAGCGGTTTTCAGTGAAGCATTACTGTAAAAAGGTACATCGCTCGTCACTGGGCATACAGTGTGTGTAATAAAACAAACAATTAATTAAAACAAGCAATTTATACCAGATGCTAATGGCTCCTAATGAGGGCAGTAACGGGTCACTGTTCTAATATCTATCATTGCTCACTGTGTCACAATGAGGATATATTGACTGCCAAGAGTTCACTACTACTATTGACTTTTAATCACAACTTGTTACACCATTAACTAAACATTCAACTTTTACTTCATAAGATTTGACAGCTGGCCAACTGAGCCAACCATAATGAAAATACCTAAACACTAGCCAAGAAGGACAGGTACAAAGTATAAGACTGTAATAAAAAGTAGGCTGAACAGAAATGTAGAAAAAACAATGATTACATGATACAATAAATAAGTACTATGTGAAAGTAAGAGCCAAAGACGCCATTGCTTTGGAAATTCCATAGTAATCGCAGAAAACAAGATTTCTAATATCACTTAATCATTAGATCAGTCTAGTTTTAGTATTAGTCATACAAGCAAGTACAAAGTCAACCACTGCCTGCTCCTTTATGTATGCTCAGTACATTTGCATGTTTGAAGACCATAAAATTGAATAGACAGTGTGTATGGAAAGAGAATAAGTGTGATTTTAGCTTAAACAATAACCTTTCTATGTCATGTTCACAGCCTATTAGCAGTGTAAGTGCTCGTGATAATGTGAGCATACCAGCAATGCTTTCACTTTGGATTCTGATGAAACATGGCACACGCCAAAACAAGTTAGTTACAAAATATTTCATACATTCATTTATGACTGTTATACAGTATCAGTGATGTTTTACATTTTCAGATCGTAGCTAAAGAAACATGAAACAAACAGCCACATAACAGGATAGATATGTTTGCTATTATTCATAGTTTCAACTGGATATTGTAAAATATATTTATTAATATACATGTGCAGTAAGGAAAATAAATAGGTTTATGATATGAGATTGTGCTTGGAATATATAATTGTATTATTGTTTAGTATGATGGTATTAATTGTAGGTATTTATCGACAATCAATTAAAAAATATAGCAGATAGCTAAATTGATAGCAACTGATAAGTAATGCACTTTAAAAAAACATAAAACATGCAGATATCCCTGTAACTGGCAGACTTATGTACGATCGTAAACATGTATGACTGGTTAATGCACGTAAAGGAAAAGAAATCGCGCAGGAACCGCTCACTATTGAAATGATTGCATAAAAAACAGATATGATTACTCACGGTTCGGCCTCTATAGATTGCAGGCGTGCGACATAATTCGATGGAATGTAGCCTTCTTGTTTGGTCTTCTTACTTCTAGCTAGCCACCAGTCACCTTGTGTATCATTTAAGATTTCTAAATGTTCCCCTTTTCTAAAGCTAAGGTCCTCATCAGTACGGGCATCGTAATCGTACAGAGCTACGAATATTCGGGTGGGAGGGACCTCACTCGTATCTGTTCCTTGATTCACAGTAGATCTAATTGGATCAGGCGGAGGGGTCGGCACTGGGGTCTGGAACTGCCTAGGGTCTTCTTCATGCGGGTTCGCCCTTTCATTTTTGCTTTTAGAATCCTTTTCTCCTGTACTACTAAAACAGTTCCCCATTTTCTCTTTACAAGGTGAGTCTGGTACCACTCGTTTTATGTCAAATCACACACTTGTATGAACCCAAACTATTGTCCAAAGTTTCTATACCTATAAACATTTTATTTTGTCACATTAAAGTCAGAATTTTGAAACAAATAATATGTTTTTATCGTAAACAAAGAACATAAAACTCCGATCGGACATCACCACAGTCGGCCATTTTGATGCTCCATAGACAATTTATAAAAATAAACACAGATAATATAAAAAGCCTCTATGAATAGACATCAACAATCAAAACTACTACGTCCATATCAAAAAATTATTACTGATAGCCCTAAATGTGTATTGTTTTAAATTAAATGATAATTAGTTCTATATATTAGGTTCGGAAATGATATCATATTTTAAAATTCTTTCACCTAAAACCTACCCGTCTTTAGCGCCATCTGGTGTCGTTGTGACGTAATCATTTAAAGAGCGTCATCTATTGACGTAACTATGAACTTCATGCACGCGAAAACCAGGTTCAATGAGTGACGTATGTAATAGATGGCGTTACTAGTCACATTTGATAATATTTTTTTCTTTCAGAACATTAAAAAACTTCCATCGTTACATATTTTGAAAAAAAAGCATATATACGGTCGAATTGAGAACCTCCTCCTTTTTTTGAAGTCGGTTAAAAATATAAACGTTGTGGAGATTTGACCTTTTTGATTATATTACAATTTTCCAAATAACTGCGTTCGAGTAAGTAGTCCTGGGTTCGATTCTCGGGTAGAAGTATTATTATGATTTATTAGTAAGTAATTTTAGCTTTAGGCTTATAGCCTATCATGAGTTCAAGTTACAAGTCTATATACCTATATAGACTTGTTTATATACCTACATACTAAAGGTCTACCAATCACATCACAATTCGAAATAACAATAAATAACCATAGTGTAGGATATCAAAATATGCTTTCAACTTCAAGAGGGAAAATCGCTACTAGAGATAAAATCTCCTAGTATCTAAAAAGCATTTTTCTCTCGCGTTGCTTTATGCATTTTTTCTTCACTGAAGCAAACTTTTTCAGTTTTATTATATTTGACGGTAGAGAATAGTGATACTTAATAAACTGCATTAAAGAGTTTTCAAGCGTCTTATTAACGCTGCAAAAAAATTGAAACCACGCTAAGAAAAATAACTAAAGTTGTTTTGAATTTCTTAAGCTTGTAACTTCGGTACCTAATCTTGTCTTTGAGAGTTCGTGCTGAAGTAGATAGTTTTTTTTTAAGGGGGGAAAATCATCGAATGACTGCTCCCGCCTGGGTGAGGCGGGAGGGAGTGTCAGACTCTTACTGACTAAAAACCACCCCGTACCTTCACCTGCACGTCGAGCCGGAGCCACGGTTACCCGTTAGGTTCTCCGCGACGAAGTAGATAGTTAGATACTGTTTATTGCCAATCCGTCTTGAGCAAGTGTTGTGATTAATGTTCATATTTTCTCCGTGTGCGAAGAGGCCTTTTTTATATATTTTGTGGGCCGACGTTTGACCATTATCTTGCCCGATGGTAAGCAATGATGTGGCCTACGATGGAGCGCGTCGTCCCTTTAGGCAACCTATTCACTGGGGTTTTGAAGACTTTGGTCAGCATTGGGCACAGCATATAGGGCAAGTACCACAGATATATAAAGAAAAATTTTAATATTTCTGTGGCACGTACACAAAACTGCGATGTGACGTCGCATCGCAAAAATGTGCGAGCTTCCTCTACGCATCGCAAGATCTTGAGAATTGATTCGCATCGCGCATCAAAATCTTATCTTCACAAAATCTTCTTTGTTTCTTTTCCCTGTATCTTCTGAGTAATAACAAAAGTGCACACTTTTTTTACGATCCATGTCACGACCTAGTTTTCAATTTAAAATAAGTTTAGTACGGTCGACGTTCGTCGAAGGAATGGTTACCCTGTGAGACGATTGTCGCACGAAATCGCATCGCAGCAATTCGTGTCGTAATTTTCGTATAGCAGTTTTGTGTACGAACCCTCATAGGTTGATGTTGTGTTCATGTTCCTGCAAAAAAATTGTACCACACGAGGTCCTTACCTATAATAATATCTAACCTCGTAGTTCGAAGTGGAAAAATCTTCGAAGTTTCAAGATGAGCGACTGTATTTGGATCTGATATCCATGGCTCAAATAAAATTAATTAAAAATATCTGTTTCTTGATGAAACAGAGGCGTTTGTTTTCAATTTGATATTGTATCTTTTGATTTCCTTAGGGTTCTTCATAGAATGATTAAAACATATTTTTTGTTTTAGGCTTTTTTTTTAAGCGGGGAAAATTATCGAATGACTGCTCCCGCCTGGGTGAGGCGGGAGGGAGTGTCAGACTCTTACTGACTAAAAACCTCCCCGTTCCTTCTCCTGCACGTCGAGCCGGAGCCCCGGTTACCCGTTAGATTCTACGCGACTTTGTTTTAGGCTAATAGTATATGACAGGTCAGTACAACAGGATACGACACAGCCGCTGGTGAAATTCTTCAAGAAGAATGTAAACAGAATCTTTTAAAGAGTCGGCAAGGCGCATGTTGTCCAAATGTTGCAAGTGTTCATAGGTCACGGCAAACAGTTACCGTCAGGTGGGCCGAGTGCTTTTTTGTTTGTTTCAGTGGAAGGAGGGTAACTGTACTTTTGTAAACAAAGAAGTTTATTCCTCAATGTTCACTCCAAACTGTGGTCCACTCACAACTCTACAGTTATACTTACTTTTAATGATGGTAGGTATCTATTCGGAACTAGAGCGAAGTAATCCAAGATTGCTGATGTGATTTCCCAAGACATCTCGCTTTCCTTCGTTGTAATCAAAACAAGTACCTATCTAAAGGTACAATCGGCTTAATTTGAATTATGACCCACTATAAAAGCTTCGGAAGTTAGAGGGTGCGGCCTGTGTTGAGCAGTGGACATTTTGTGGCGTTGAGACTGTTATGATGGAGATAGGGATGGAATTAAATTTATTTTCTTATAGATATTCAACTACAATTCGGTCGAAATGTATGCATTTCCAAGGTAACTTTCTTGTTCTTTTTTGCCGATTTCAAATGGTTTGTAGTCGTAAGATGAAAGAAGGTAATCATTCGAATGTATCGATTGTACCCAGTGGATGGCAGTCTCTCTTAATTAATTAAAGACGTAAACATTGACTTTTTTCACAAACTTCTAAATGATTTTTAAAAGAAATTGTTTTTCGAGAGCTGGGTATTAACCTCGAATTGGATTAAATTTTAAATGAATTAGCTATACGTTCTTCCATATTTTTTAATAAGTTTTGAAGTCGACTTTGAGTTAATGGTCTTAAAACTTTTCTGTTTTGATAAGAGCTCGGTAAATTATGATTCTACAGACCAATCAGGACTTTGGTTAGGAAAATGTTCAATATACCGTTACAATTTGAATTCTTTATAAGCTTGCAGTCATTTCTTTCTTTTTAAGAAGAACATCTTCATGTTATAATTTACACATTTACAGTTGTAAAAATTCGGCTCACATAGGGAATTTCCTTCTTTCGTACCTTAACAGGCCCGATAAAAAAAAAAGCAAATTGTCAATGTTAATTTTTCCCGTGTTTCACAAAGATTCCATTCCAATTAACGAATCGGAGTAGGTAGGTATCTCTAAATATGTTTAAGAATATCAAATTAATTAGATTACAGGTATCAGGCAAATCGAAACAAACGATTAATTAAAGATATCTTGAAAGACTTGGAAAAGATTAATTAATTAATTTGGGAACCGTACATTGTTTGTTCCTATTTATAATTTTAATTAGAAGAGTTTCTTCAGTGTTTATTTTGATTCTGACTATCAGGAAATAGATATGGGTACTTATAAAGGTGTTTTCTTTCTTTAAAGAACATTGACTAAAGCGATTTTTATTACTTTTTATCCTTATTAATTTCAATTGATTTGTCTTTTGCAATGGTGTCCTCGAGTTCCTGTATCTGTATTTCGACAGATGCAAATTCTTTAATAATTTTTCTGAGTAAAAAAAATACACTTGTGCACTTTTCTTCAGAATTCTTTTGTTCATTTTAATTCACATTTCAAATTCTAATTTAAATTTATTTATTTGCAAGATTACATTTTTACAAAGGAAGATCTTACAGCCTCAAAGTCATTGTATTCTGCCTGCGAGCAAGCGTGCAAATTGTAAACATTTAAAATTAAAGTCACCATAATAATTTTCATAATTACAATACAATATTTACGTTGGTATCATAGTCATAGACATATTTGTTGTTTAGTTGTTAGGTATATTGTTAGTTGAAACCAATCACTTGTCACCTAACTGTTACCTGCGATCCTAATGATGTCGGTCCACTAAGCTGAAGAAGCCTCGTAATTGCTCTGTCCTTATGGTGTGTCCAGAATACCTACCACAATAGGGATGATGACAGGGTATGAAAATTAAAAATCTAATTAGTCCGTCAGTTAGGTAATGAAAAAATATTATACACGTATTTTTTAATTTTGTTGTACAATAAAAAAGATACTTATATAACGAATCAAAGTTTAGGAGTGGTGGTTATAACGTCATTTCTACGTATAAAATGTACGTCGAAGTGACGTCACGCGACATTTCAAATCAATATATCGTCGAAAGTATTCGTTTCTGTAAAAAATAAAAATACGTGTGTAATGTTTTTACCCTTCGAGTACACAGTTTAAAATAATTTACCAGACGGACATTAAAATAAATATTAGTCATCTATCCTATTGTGCCATTATGAACGCTAAGCAGATACAAATGGAAACCAGTGTTAGGTGTAGGTACTACCTACTTAATACTTATATCCAAGTAAAATACTAGGCAAAAAGAAATATTCCATCAAGCTTGCGAACCTTTCAATTTGAATATTTAAAATTGCGATCACGGTCGGCATAAAATCGTGGCGTCGCGTCGCCTTGTCTAGCGAAGCGCTCTTTTTCAATGAAAAAGTAACCTATTTTTGAGTATATTT